AAAAAAAAAAAAAAAGAAAGTGACCTTTGTTACTTACTACAGATCAGGAAACATTAGCAATGGGTATCTGGCCAGTTTTTCCAAAAAGCTTTTTTATTGGTCTTATAAAGTCAAACTTAATTCCTTAATGCAATCTAGACACCTCTGGAAATGCTATTCCAGCCAAAGCCTTGGTGAAATAACCAGTGCCTTTATTATGTCCTACAGAACAAAACAGATTCTTATTGAACTTATGCAAATAATTGTATTGTTGGAAATTACGAATACTTACAAATGGCTTTTAAATTCTGGAGAAATCAAAGAGAGAGAAAAAATAAATGCTTCAAATTCTGTTTATAACATACATTGCTGAAAGTTACAAATAGTTTAAGAGACAGAAAAATGGTTTTCTTGACTTCTGGAAAACAGAATATACAGAATCAGTAATGTTTCAAATAAAAATCCATAACAAATTAACTCAGTTTCATATAACTGGTTTCTATTTTGTTTGAAGTTAGGTTAGCAATACTCATGGACATGTTAACTTTTAAATTAAAGTTTCAGAAGTTTGTTTTTAGTTCTAAGGTATTTAATTTTCAAAGACATTAGAAATTTGAATTCAAGAGATTCATCAGTTTCTGATGAAACAGTTCATCAGTTTCTCTTAAAATTTCATTGAAGGAAATTTGAATTCAAGAGAGTCATCAGTTTCTAATGAAGAGATTCATCAGTTTCTCTTAAAATTTCATTGAAGGACAAACTTTGAACTTAGTTACAAAAAATATTTTTTGAGATGAATTAGAATTATTACTGACAGACCAACATTTTATAATATTGGAATATACATATAAATATAATTTATATAAAATTTTATATCTGACAATGTTTTCTACATATTTTTAATATAATAAATAAGTCTAATATGTCTTTTCAAAAAGCCTAAATTTGGAGTTTTTATTTTGGAAGGTTTGTTAAATATCAAAGGCTTAAAATATTTCTTTAAAGATAAGATTACAAGTGAAAAGATTTTATAGGCAATATATAGTTAACTGGATTACATGTAAATTTCTTTACAAATTTCCCTTTATGAGTTTCCATTTTTCTGTTTTTCTTATTCTCAAAAATTCAGTTTTTTACAAAACATGATCACAGTGTACTATGAAGCTGATTATTCACTTGGCTAGACTGATAATTAGAAGGTTTATAAGGTAAGAATCTTTTTCTTTGACAAAGATTCAGTTTTCCAAATAATTTAAAAAACCAAATTATTACATTTTACAAATGTGGGACAGAATATGATATTGATATAGGATTTTCTCATTTAGGGATAGACAGGGATCGCTCCCATTTTTAGGCTTAGGTGAACTCAGAAATCTGACTCCTTTCTTTTTCAGAATTTATTTTTAGGCACAAGTGGCTGCACCCTGCAGACCACACTCTAAATTAGCTCACAGTTGAATCTAGTAACTTTAGAAATATTACAGAGGTGGTAGTTTTGTAATTTTTAAACATTTGGATTTTAATAACAGGCTTACAATTAATCTTATTTCAAAGGAAACTACAGTTTCCTGAATAAGTTTCTTGAGTTATTTCTGTTCAAAGTTCTCTATCTTTCTATAGACATAGTTATAGCAGTCTCTTACGAGCTCTTTTTTAAAAATTTTCAGTACAGTTTCCAACAGGGTGGGTTTCCTTGTGTTTTCCATTCCTTTCCCTCAGATAAACCACAGAGAAGTCCCAGCTGGGATAACAACTAAGATACAGACAGGGGCCACTCACACAATCTTTTCACCCTGTGAAGGGAGGGCACAAAAGCTCACCTATTGTTATCCATCTCAGTCTCTAAGCACTCACATGTACACAATTTCAACCTTCTTTCACCCTATTTTCTAACTTGGGCAGTCTGAGCTTTCCACTTAGCCATTCAAAACTTCTTCTATTACCACTGTTCAGAGTCAGCACTCCCCCAGCCCTCAGTCATGCAAGGCCCAGATTTATATTCTCTTATAAAGATCACTTGTGGTAAAGGAAACATAAACAAATCCCCCTCCCCCTGGGGCTTCACGTAGCAGGAAGAGGCCAGGTGCAGGTGTGGATGTAGAGAAGTCAGGGGAGGAGGTCTCTGGGGGACCGTAAGAGGATCCTACCTGTGTATGGGGGAGAGAGACCATGGGAGGGACTGAAGGGCTGGAAGGACAGTAAGGCAGAAGGTTAAAGATGGAATCCTCTACCTCATCAGGTGCTGGGTGGATGGGGTAGCATTTTGAAGGGGGGTTTTGTCACTAAAACTATAGTTCCTAGATGGAGAGAACTGGTATGGAGCCAACTTGGGGGGGATGGTTATTCACCAGCTTGGTTCATACATCAATGTAAGGAAACTGATTAGGGTGGCCAGGCTTTCCAGTGACTGCTTTCCAAACCTGTCAACATAAGAAAGGATCAAAGGAACCTGCAGGGAGCCAGCCCACACCAAAGGCTGGCCACTTGAGTTCACAAAGGGTCCTGAGGCACTTTGGAGAACTTTACTCTGTATTTATCACTTTTGTCTGTGGAAAAAAACATTTTGGAAGAAAAGGAACTCATGCTGAACAAAGCAGAAGCACAAACTATAGTATGTTAACCAGACAAACAAGCCGGATACAAATGAACAAAACTATATGAATCTAAATAGCGCATTTGAGGCCAGGGGTCCCCACTGGCATTCCAATGTTTCTAGCAACAGGTGTTGACACACATCTGTAGGAGCCCCTGACAGGCTGATAGCTTAGTAGCCTGGGGTTCCTATTTCTGACAGGCCGATAGCCTGGGAGTCTGAGGTTCCAGTCTTACAGGTTTACGGGACTAACCTCAGGCATAATCCTGAGGTTAGCAAAGTCCCTTGCCAGGTCCCTTGCCTTCTGCACCCCAACTTCTCCGAGGCCTGAGGCCAAAGCACCAATATCTCAGTGGCAGTAATGTCTTACTGTCTCTGACAGGCTGAGGTTCCCCACCAGTATTCTGGTATTTCTAGCAACAGGTCACTCTACTAACATTCTCCTCTGAGAGCCTCTGACAGGCCAATAGTCCAGCAACCCAGGGTTCCTGTCCAAGGCTCCTGTCCCTTTGGCCTTCCCTCAGAGGTCCCTAAGTGCCCTACACAATTCACAACAAATGAATACAACAAACAGTTATATATTTTCACAACAACAAATAAGCACAACAAAAAATGAACACAATAGTTTTACACTAAATGTCTGCAGACACTAGCCAAAAATAGATGTTTAAATGGCTTACCTCTGGAGGTCGACTCACAGAAGAATTTAGGGGTGATTGTCAGCCAGTCTCCTGAGGGCTCTGGGTCCTCCTGGGGCTCTGGAATGTTTCCAGGAGGCGCCTCCCCTCAGAAGGACCACAGGCTGTTCCTGTTCACCCATTTGGTGATCTTAGTGGTTTAACAGTAGTAAAAGTGATAAAGCTTATACTAAATAAATCTTTAGGTACCTCTTAGCTCTAAAATTTCGAAAGTCCATAAAGTCAGGCTCAAAGGTATTATTAGCAATTCATCCAACACATAGTTATAAAACACCTACTCTGACAGGAACTGTTTTAGATGCTAGTATTTAATAGGATCAACTTAATATGAAAAAGTTGTATAAAATCCTGTAAAAAATAAATAAGAGTAAAGCTATTAAGAGTCACTTTGGGCTCGGCGCCTATAGCTCAACCGGCTAAGGCGCCAGCCACGTACACCTAAGGTGGCGGGTTCGAATCCCCAGC